ATATTATATAATTTATTCATCTAGATAAGATAAAGGTACTTAATTTTCATCTAGATAAATTTATCTAGATACAACTCAACACTGATTATATTATGACGTATGTAGGTACTTTGGATTTCGGTATGTAATTTTTGAGAAAATTATTATAAGCATTTTGTTTAATTCAATAATTCATGACCAATGTAGAAACTTGAAAAAAAAATGATAAATCCAGATATGTCATATGATAACATAAAATTATTGTACATGGTGATTAAAATAAGATTAAAACGAGCCAAATTTACACGCAAAATAAATAACGAAGATGATTATGTGATAATTTAAAAGACTTAAAATCATCCGAATACGGTTATATGTCTCTTAATCAATTATTACTCAATTATAAATTGACATATTACCTCTCCAATCCTTGTGGTGACTTCCCCGTTTAAATCGTAGTTAGTGTCTGAAGTGTAAGATATGGTGACAGATTTGTATTTTAAAATAATAAGACCTTTTTTCTCTGGTTCCCTATTGTTAATTTTATTTAGTTTTTTAACACAAGTGTGTGTATGCGTGTACGTGTGTGTGTAATACCTTATCGTTATATTTTATCCTATTCAATATTTGTAACTTATTCTATATGGTAGAGATCGCACCTACCTAATGATAAAAAAAACTTACAATTATCTTGCCTCTTTTCTTGAAAATACTCTTCAAAAATTTAACTCGGAAAATTATCAAAATTATTTAAAATTTCCTTATGGGAAGCTACAAAAATAAACTAAAATAAAAATATATTACTCTTCCTCTACGTTACCCTGACAATACTTGAGCTTTTTCTCACTTAGAAAAAGCTAATTTATTTGCCTCTGACATAGAATCTAGATTCACTCCCCACCAGATATACTTGATATAAACCACTCAACTCATGTTGAATCATCTTTATCCCAAACTCTCCCTATGTCTCCACCTACAAAACAAACCTCTCCCTCTCAAATTCAGTTTATTATTAAACAACTTGCTAATAACAAATCTCCTCGACATGATTTAATAACTAATAGAATCATCAAACGTCAAATATCCAACGTCTTCCAAAAAAGCCACCTCACTCAAATATTTAACTCCATTATACGCCTGTCGTATATCCCGAAACAGTCAATCATAGTGTTAATTCATAAGCCAGGAAAACCCTCTGATCTTCCTCGTACCGCTCAATAAGATTTCTTACCTTTCTATGAAAAAAACCTTGAAAAATCCTCTTTAAAAGAATCAATCAAATTATAACGAAGAAAAAATAATGCCCAATACCCAATTTGGTTTTAGAAACAATCATTCTGCCCACATCAAGTGTGCCGAATCGTTGATAATATTGCATCTACCTTAGAAAATAAACACTACTGCACTGCTGTATTCTTAGAAGCCTTTGATCGAGTCGGGTAGAAGAGTCTGGTATACACAATTCGTTTTCTTCCTGCGCCTCTATTTCTTACTATCAAATCTTTTCTCTTGAATAGAACATTCCAAGTTCACTGTGAAGACGAACTTTCGTCAACTCATCCTATAAATGTTGGGGTTCCTTAAGGCAGCATTCTCGTTCCAACCCTATATAATCTTTTTACCTCCCTCATACCACACTCAAATGATTCTACTTTAGCTAGCTTTACCGACGAAACCACGATTTTGTCTTTCAATAAATGTCTTCGAACTGCCATAAACCATCTTCAAGAACATCTTATAATCCTACAACACTGGTTTCACAAATGGAGAATAAAAATTAACAAAAATACATCAACTCTCATTAAATTTAATCTTGGTCATAAAAACAGTCAACCTATAATACTAAATAACAAAATAACTCAAACGTAAGACTCTGTAAAATATCTTGGACTGCATCTAGACAAAAGATTAACTTGGRCAACCTATATAAAAAATAAAAGATCTTTCTTCAATCTAAAACTCCATAAATTCAGACAGCTTCTGCGTTCTAATCTCTCTTTTAAAAATAATCTTCTCATATATAGACAAATCATTCGACCGGCAATGACCTATGACATACAAATTTTGGGAACCTCTAAAAATTCCAACTTCAATAAATTCCAATCCTTTCAATCAACAAATCTCCGACTCTTAACCAGCTCTCCCTGGTATGTCAACAATTTCACTCTACACAATGACTTGAAAATTACAACTATCTCCGAGGTTTCGTCAAATCACTAAAAACATTTTTATAAAAATACTTTTATCATCCAAACCTTCTTATCTCTAACCTCTTCCTTTTCACTTCAGATAACCCAATCTGCCGCCTCAAACGAAAATGGCCACGAGACCTACTAAATACCTAAAGACAATTAAAATACATTAATTAGTCTTAATTAAATATCTACCAGATACATCAAGTTTGAAGTAGTGTTACTGGGCACCCTACTCTATCACGCCCAAGCCTTGTGCAAAATAATTACAAACTATCAAAATTACCTATTGTAAATACCAATTACAGATTGTATATTTTATCTTTTCAAATAAAAACAAAACACACATATTATTATCCTTAATAGCTAACAATTATTCTAATTATTTTTTTTAAAATTTAAATTTAAAAAAAATATGATGGCTTAAGTGCACATCATTATAATTTAAAATCCGTTATACTGTTTATTTCATGAAACTATTTAAGTATATTAAATTAATAACTCTTGGCTTTTAAATCGTTTCGAATATTTTCTGCCATTTTCCAATCAAATTAAAAAACCAACATTAATTCAGTTTACTGAATATGTTAATTCGTTTACATCATTACATGTACAACATAAAGATAATCATTAAAAATAAAATGTATGCAAATTGAATATTTTGATGCCAAGCCCCAGTAATATGACAATATTATTATTTAGCGTGTTGTTAGTTTATTCCTTTGAAGATTGATATATCGTATTTGTATGAATTGTATGGTTTCTCAACAGGATATCAATACATCAAGTAATTGCCGAGGTAGAAAAAGCCTTAATAACTATGGATGAATATTTCGATAAAATAAACAATACGATGATTAAAAGCCTCGATAAAATTGAATACGAAACTGAAAACATCAACCTCGAAATTAATAGACAACTTCAAAACATTGAAACCTTTAGGTTTGGATGTACTACTATTTATAATTTTCTTCTTTTATTAACGTACCTAGTTAACTATTACTTATGTATAATTTATACATATTATCATATAATTTATAATACTCAATTTTTTTTCATGTTTTGTGTACCTATTTTTAAATAAGAGGTGCGTGTCTATCATTTATTAGTAACTTTCAGTACTACGGTTGAATACAAAATARCGGTACTCAGTATTATTATAAATGCTAAGCGGTGGGGCGCATCGACACAATATATTATGTACATTGTACACTATTACTGTATTATACAAAATTCTTAAAGTTCTTAAAGTTCAAAGGGATGGTTAATGATTATATAGACTATTGTTATATATTATTCAAATCATAATAGGTAGGTGCATTAATAATTGTTAAAATAAAAAAAATATCAAGGATATCAATTTGATATTATCCAACAATCCTTATAAACTCAATTGATAAAAATAAATAATAAATAAGATAAATTATAATCCATCTGTTATCTAAGTCATTATTTCATAAAATATTATTATATATTATGTAATTATCATTAATATTATCGTCAATATTATTAATATGTATCTATATCAAAATTTTGAGACAACGGTAGTATTTTCTTGTTGAACACTATATGAAATTGGCAAAGAGTTAAGTAAATGTTAACATAAGTGATAGGTATATTATAAATTATGCTAATAAAGTGCATATTAATGACTATATAACTGAAAGAACATAATATAATAATATTATGTGTTCTAAATATCTGTCAGAAATTTGAAGACATGGTTGTGCCATACTACCACGTCATTATGATGGAATTTTGATAAACTCGGTGATTTTATCTTTGACGAGAACATGTTAAATCTATTAAAAATGATAGGGATTTTGAAGTAAAAGTCTAAAAATAATTATTATAAAGTCGGAAAATATATACCATTCTGATGTAGGTATGTAGGTGTTTTGGTGACTGTAGGTAATGGATGTATTCAATTTTAATTCAATGATTTATAATAGGTACCTGTTTTAAGTAAATTTCAAGATATGTGTTTGATATTGCTACTACAATAATATTTATTTTAACTTTTAGAATTACAGTTGGTTGGTTAATTTTTTTCTGAAAACATTTCATTTAATTTATTAAATTATTCATATTTAAATATTAATTATTCTAATGGTGTAGGTATATAGTTTTATATCAATTTATATTATTGTTATTAACTTTTGAGCTAATATCAACTGCCACCTTATTGAAAAATAACAGTTTTGCGTATGATACCTACATATTGTATTTATTGTATTGTCTATAAATATTTAAATATTATACGTATAGAGCGAACGTCTTGGTAGCTGGCGTTAACAGATTAACCAAACGCATACCAGCTGATAAATATATTAAATTCATAAAAAAAAAATTGATGTCGTCCACAATATATCTGAACGACCTTCAATTCAAAATAACCGATGCCATTACCGAGGAACAGATGTTACACGAAACGTACGTGACTTCGAAACATATTCGGGACACGGTATTCGAAACGGATATGCATAACGTCCGAATGATGAACAAAAAACTATTGAAAGAACAAATTGAAATATCAACAAAAAATAATGAACTTAAACAGCACCTGAGTATGCATATGCATATTATATTTTATCCCGAAAATAGGGTTACAATTGGTAACAAAAATGTCTACACAGATTCATAAAAATTTTAAATTAATTAAATAATAATATTGGTGGATATTCCATTTAATCCGTATGAATAAACATTTTAGTAATATATAATATAAAAATAGGTACGTATTGGGTAGATTGAAAGTATGTTTATTTTCTCTAACCGTATAATAGGTACCAACTGATTATTTATCTAATACAGTAATACAGTACCTACTTGGAAGGTGGACAATCGACGGACWACTAAAATATCGACAAGACAATCAACCGAAAARGTCAATCAACCGACAACCTAAATACCGACAGTAATATTATAAGTACATAGTAATTTAATTTCACTTATTTTAAAAAGATTTTCATAAATATTGTATAGTAATAATAATGATAATAATTGTATAATTAAAAATTTTTAAAAATAATTCGTAATATAATAAAAAAGACTAAAAATAATGTATAAATGTATGCGATTGTAGAGTGTACATTACATGGTTAGGTTGTGAGCAACACCTCGAAGATACTCCAGACGTGTTTTACCTTCACGAGTGTTAAAAGCAGTCTTCAAGCGCCGTTCACGTTTTTGCTGAAGATTTGTTGGGCGTGGCTTTGGAGCTTCTCGAAGAATAGATTCGATATCTGCATCAACCTTACCTTGTTCTTTCTGAAGTTCTTAAAACAGACCAATATGAGCCCTTCCTACCAATTCATTCCAACGCCGATGCCATGCCTCCGCATGATTATAAGTCCTAGGAATACCATTGTCTATAAATTTATGATAATATAAAGTATTAGACAAACTCTATAAATAATTGAAAATTATTAAATACAGTATTATATAGGTGCCAATGTTTTCATAAATTGACCACAATGTTGGAGGAAAAAGTGGAGGGTTTCTATGTTCAGTGTTGCGCACTAAACGATGGATTTTACCTAATGCATAATTGTCTTCAAACCACTGTAAAAAAGTACTTGTATTGTTAGGCATAATTTCTTAAATCTCCTTGAATGCATCAAGAATTTCCTCTTCGGGCAAAAATGCAAGAGACAACATTTCCGAACTTTGATGCTGAAATTTTCATTATTTCCATACTCAATGGATAGCCCAAAGCCTTGTAATTTTCACCACGCACTTTGGCATAAATTAAATAAGCAACCTTTACTTTCGGACAACGGAAACTCATGTTTGCTCGCGTTGATTACAGCCATCTCAAAGTCACTTATTATGTATTCAGGTGCTAAGTTAATACTATTGTTTTTAGAAAAATCAATTATATCCTAAAAAAATAAAAACTATTAAAACATAATATTGCTATTTAAGAAAAGGAAGCAAATTAGTAAATAAAACGTTGTATTTTCGTAATTACCTGATACACCTGACTGTAACATTGCTCTCTTTTGCTTGTCATAAGAACATACACTAGAGGCAAACCCTAGAATTGTCACCGTAGCCAACTTGTGTGTGAATTGTATAACATTGATTGAATGAGTTTTTGAATGTTACTTACAGTAGAAAATACAAGTATCTTATCTTCACCTAAAATCAATAGAAAATAAAACTAAATTTAGATTGCATAATTATTATAAAAATAATTTACACACCTATTATTGATTCTTAATGAGAAATGGTTTATTAGATAATGTTTTTTCCAGATCATCAGCCATCAGGTATATATTGAKCCCATAAATTGAATTCGGTTCTGTATGGTGGTGAGTAATACGGTGTACGCTTTACTTTCTTTCGTTGTGCTCCATAACTGGGTAGATACGGTCTTATATTCTCTGGAACGTTGGATTGTGTAGATTGAATAATTTGTGACGGTTTATTTGTTGTAGAACAGGCTGTATCTTAAAATTAAGTTAAACTAATATTTCTAAAAATAATAYAAATAAAAATAATTACAWTTGTTATTTACCTTTTAATATAGAATTTGCAATAGAAACTGCAGCTCGAATAGTTTCTGGAGCATGATTATGATCATTGTCAGTCCTTAACTTATGTCTCCCATCAATTAGAATTGGAAATATTATTACTATACAATATTTATAAAAATCTTTTTAAAATAAGTGAAATTAAATTATTATGTACTTATAATATTACTGTCGGTATTTTGGTTATCAGTCGATTGACCTTGTCGGTTGATTGCCTTGTCAGTATTTTGGTTGTCGGTTGATTGACCCAGAACCACCTACCCAGTGGTGCCGAAGTGTTTAAAATATACTATGACATCRTACATCACCCCCCTATTTTTATAATTTAACCATCAGATGTAAATCAAAGAGTCTACAAATAAGTAATGTAACTTATATTTTTATTTTTTAACGTATATTCTGTATGCAGTACACGGCAGTACACGGCAGTATCTTGTGATGGGTCTCCCCCCATCTAAAAAATCTACTATGACTTGTATATACACATATATTTTATATATATATATCATATATAAATGATCGGTGTGACAGTGATCGGTGCTACTGTACCTACCTACCTACGTAATATGTATTTAATTTTATGATTCCGTTGTTTGACTTAATGAGCAATATGCTAGTACACAAGCTGATACTTGTGTACTTCGTTGCCCGTTAAAATTACCAATCCAATATGACTCAAAATTTGTGTTTAATTCGTCGTTTAATACCGGGTATAGCTAGTGAAAAGTTATGTGCAAAATTTCCCGTGAATTTACCCTATCTTAATCTCCATTAAAGAGGTTTAATAAAGCCGTTTAAAATAGAGGACAAAAATTAATGCATTCAATCATAATAATTTCTTGCATTCTTAGCTTGTCATTTATATAATGTGCTTCAATATATCGGGATATCCATACTATATGATCTCAAGACGTGATCGTCCAAATGTTCAATATATWCTTACCCCAAGCGTACATATATATGTATTAGGTGTGTAACAAAAAAAATTATGTAAAATTAGAATAAATAGGTAGGTATAACATTGTAGGTGCGTATGTAATTTGCGCCAAAATCAACCCAAAAAAAAAAAATATATATGTAATTTGCGCCACATCTAAAAATGTATTTTGGTAATTTGCGCCACTTTTTAAATTTGTAATTTGCGCCAAATAACAGTGGCGGCGCTAGGCGTGGGCGGTGTGGGCCATTGCCCACGGCCTCACACCTCAAAGGGCCTCGCGTTCCATAGGGCTTTATAATTAACCATAGAGAAATATGACAGAAGTTAAAAAATTTTTTAAAAGGGCCTCTTTAAGTCTACTTCGCCCACATGTAACTTTTACCTCGCCACGCCACTGCCAAATAAAATTAAATAAAAAGGAATTATGTAATCTGTGCCCTAGAGTACCTACTAAAATTGTAATTTGCGCTTTCTTCCACCTTATTAAAATAGTAATTTGCGCCACTTATAGGTATTATAATAATATAAATAACTCCATGTATATTAAATATGTAAATTATCGTTAAGTAATAAAACATATTATAAAAATCAGTCATATTAAACTCGTAATTATAAATAAATGTATATAAAAAATCAAACTCCATGCATATTAAACATCTAAATTGTCGTTAATTAATAAAACATATAAAAATCAGTCATAATTATAAATAATTCGACGATATTGAGACGATGTGTGACACGCGTCGGACGCATCAGAACGTATTATTGTATATCCTATGCGATATCGCTAAATACATCTGCCGGTAAATTCCAACTGCTATTAAAGTTGAAAGTGTGGCGCAAATTACATATTCCATTTTGTTTTCTTTAGTGGCGCAAAATACCAAAATTAATTAGTATATGTGGCGCAAAATACATGTTATATTCTTATATTTTGGCGCAAATTACAAGTAATTAAAGTGGCGCAAAATACCATCTCCCCATTGTAGAATACACACAATGGACAATGGTCAATGCATAGAAATATAGAAATGTAGGTATATAGAAACAACTGAATTACCCACCTTCACCCGTGCGTATTTTTAGTTTTTTTCACATTTACAATACTATTTTAGAATAATATTGTTAATTTTTATATAAAAGTATTGGTATACGCGTGATGCATGAGATTATTTTTATTAACTTTTTGGAAAAATATTCTTATCTACTCGATGGACAAAAARGATAGGTTGCTGGTAGCTCGAAACCCGCGGGCCGCCGTACGTCCGTGCCATGCAGCACAATACCTACGTATTGACTATTATTGGCTATGAATAATTAAAATTGTTAATTATTCTACTAAAAAGCAACATTTTTGAAAATCCTTTCTTATAGTTTGGTGAAAATATGAGAAGAACCTCTATTTTAAATTTCAAGTTCGTACGTTGCGTAGTTTTGAGTTCAAGCGATCAGTAACTAAGTGGTATTTGGATTTTAAGTGTATAGATTATACACAATAACTTATTCCAAATTATTTTTGATATCTGTGTGCAAATTTCTACTAAATTAGTTACTGCTTTGGATACTAAACATAATTATATAAAAACCGCTGGCGCTCTATATATTACACCTGTTGAACTAAGTAGGGCTTTTGTATTCAAATACCTAATAAACAATTTTAATTTTACAATATTTTGAATTTTAAAATAAAAAAAATATATATACTGTCAAATAGAATAATAAACAA